ATGGACAAAGCCAAATTTGTGCTATCTCATGGCAGCCCTGGGAATGTGGGTGGTGCTAGTCGGGACCTACTGTGAATATGAAATACTGAAGCTTCAAGACGGAAGCATGCAAACTGAAATACCCCGTTAGCATTTTTTGCATTGACTATTATTTTAGATATACTGGGTTAAGTAATTCATGAAAAACAATTTTACCTGTTTTTGCTTTTTTAATGTGGCTACTGGAAAGTTGACAGTTATGTGTGTGGCTGGAATTATATGTCTCTAGAATCTAGCGTAGAACATCCAGTTAGAATTGACTCCCCTGGGAGAAGGCTGAGCCTGGGGAAAGTTGGTTAAGGCAGAGGTGCTCTGTATTTTAATCTCTTCTTTGCTATTTGATTTTTAAACCATGTTAATAAAGTTTGATAAAAAATAACCTCTTCAACAAAGGCTGTGGTCTGTACCTTAAAACATGTTAATTTGTCACATTCTAAATTACATAGTAAATTGTAACCAGAGTAAGGAAATTTGGAATTAAAAGTAGTCATTGTCTTGTCCACTGTTGTTCCTTCATTTCAATTTGCTATAACCAGAAATAAAGCACTTGTTTTTCTTGCTTTTGTCTAGCTTATTGCAGGAGTGACCAGGACATCACCTTGTAGAAGTAATGCCCACAGAAAGCGGAAGTTGTTCAACTGCTCGCCAAGCAAAACAGAAACGCAAATCTCATAGCCTTTCTATACGAAGGACTAACAGCTCGGAGCAAGAGAGGACAGGCCTGCCAAGAGAAATGTTGGAAGGACAAGTAAGTTAGTGCTGAGTGTTTGTGATGTCCCAGAAATAGCCGAATACACACAGGTCTCCGAAGTAGAGAAAAAGTGGAGGTTACCAAAAAAACAAAACAAACCTCTCCCGCCCAGTAAACCAATAAAACTGTCAAACACAATAGTCTACACAGCGATAGGATTCGATTTCCAGATTAATAATTTTGCAACAGTTAATAAAAAAACATGGGTGTGACAGTTTAGATCAGACTTGACTCTGTACAGACGAATTGACAGTGTTGTTTTGGTTGTCTGTCTGAAAGTCTCAGGAAAAGAGAACTGAGTAGCGTTTCAGTGATCTGTTCTCTGGAGGGTTTCTGCAATCAGGTCTTTCAGTAACTGTTTCTGTGTCTGCCATAGTGAGTGTCATCTGTGTGTCATAGTATGTCTTTCTGATAATTTGATGTTCCCTTTGATTAGATGAACTAATATTTTATTGATAAAGATAAGTTTTCTTATACTTTTTCTAGTTCCTTTATTATGAAAATGTGGTTTTAAAAAATATTGTGAAGCCCAATAAAAGTGTGTTATAGTAAAATAAATTATAGACATAACTAATAATGTTCATATTAGTACATATAACAATATATGTATAAGTACATACAGATTTGTGACCATATTTTCACAATTAGAACTAATTCATCGACCCTAATGTTACAGGAAAATAAGGCTGAAATCTGAGAAATTGGCTCATTGGAGTTTAGACCTTATCAGAGTTCTGCCTGGACTCTGACCTCTTGGCCTCTAGGATGCAGCATCTGGGCAGCAGCAGGGTACACACAGGACCCAGCACAGTTGCTGGGGTGTAGTAAATATTCAGTTAGAACCCTGTTATTATGTGTTGAAGGGATGAAAAGAACGGATGCCTGGTTCTGCTTTCTAAAAGAAATGGTTACATCTTAATATTGGAAATAATACCGTAGACTTGAAGGAGCCTCCAAAACGGCTTTGGTATTCTTAAGTGTGTTACTGAGCTCGGTGGCCATAACAAAGCACATAGACTCGAGGGACTTAAACAACAGATTTTATTCTCTCACAGCCCTGGAGGCAGAAAGTCCCAGATCAAGGTATCACAGGACTGGTTCCTGCTGAGGCCTCTCTCCCTGGCATGCAGACAGCCGTCTGCCCGTGTCCTCACGTGGTCGTCCCTCTGCGTGTGTCTGTGTCCTCATCTCTTCTCATAGGACACCAGCCCTATTGGATTAGGGCCCACCCCGATAACCCCATTTTACCTTATTCACTGTAGCTCCAAATATAGTCACACTCTGAGGTGCTGGGCGTCAGGACCTCCACATATGAGTTTGGGGAACACAAGTCAGCCCGTTGCACTTAGGAAAATGAATGTTTGAACCAGAGCTATGCAGTGGAACTTCTGTGATAGAATGTTCTAGGTCTGTGCTACCAAATATGGGAGCTACCAGTCACATGTGGCTCGTGTGACTGAGGAATTTAAAAAATTTTATTAAGTTACATTTAAATAGATATGGCTACTGGCTACTGTGTACAGTGCAGGTGACAGTCTGTGTTTTTGTAATTGTTAGATTTACTTAATTTTTAGCACCTTTGCTAGCATCTTCTAGCATGAACTCCCATAAGAGGTGCACGTGTTCTCTTGGCCTTCTGAGTGTCTGATGTCCATTGTGATGTAGCACAAGTGGGTGATGGCATCTCAGGGTGCCCCTTTATGAAGGTCACTCAGATCCTGCAGGCTGCACAGCAGGCCCCCCTCTTAGGCCCTCATGAGGTATCCAGCGCTCCCTGCCCCTGGGCCCAGTGTCCTGGGTGGCTTGTTCAGTGGCTGCAGGACTATGGTGATGGTGTGGGGCACAAGCAGTTGGCATGGTGGGTGTGTGGACAGGTGGTTGGTCACCAGTGGGTTTGAGCTGAACAGTAGGCCACCATGGTCTAGGTGAGGCTGTGGTTGTGGTCTTCCATTGTTGGGAGCAGGACCCAAAGTGAGCACGACTGTGGACGAGCCATGGAGCTCACTTCTTCCTCACGTGTCAGAAGCAGGTTAAGGAGCAGGGGTTAGCACAGGGACAGGAGGCTGGCTGCCCATGGCTGCCGAGTGGATGTGCACACATGCCGATGAGTTCAAATGCAAGTCTATTGACGTTTTACTGAATCATGGTAGCTTTTCTGCCAAAGTTTTCTCAAGTAATACCAAAAGTTCAGCCCTCAGTTCAGGGTCTGTGAAGTTGAGTGGCACTGGGAGAGCTGTTGGGTGGTCAGGAGGAGCATGGTGGTTTAGTTTACTTTTCATTGTTTTACGATTTTCATTTCTTTTTTTGGGTCATGTTTTTTATTGCTATTTTTGAGGCCTGTTGAGAGAGGCTACATTAGCCAGTTCTACCAGATCCAGTTGTAAACAAGTGGCTTCACACAATATTTTTAAGTAGCCTGTAAAATTTACATGAGCATTCTGTGATTACTTCAAAACATACTGCTAAAATGCTTATGTCATTAGAGATCATTTTGCCTAAAATTTCTGTCTTTCGAAGAAGTTAATCTGAGAAGGAATTCAATAAACATTACATACCTTTTTATTTGCAACTCATTAAACATCAAAAAGTTTGTGTTGCATATAAATTTGCAAAGTCACGTAGAAAATTACACTGACCACAGGTGAGTATTGAAACGTTATTTTATTTTTTTTAATTTTAAGTATTATCTGTATTAATTTCTGTCTTAGTCTGTTCGGGCTGCTATAACAAAATACCATAGCCTGGGTAGCTTATAAAACAACAGATACATGTTTCTCACAATCTTGGAGGCTTCAAGTCCAAAGTCAAGGCAGACTTGGTGAGAGCCCACTTCTTGGTTCTAGCTAAGGCCTCCTCACTGTGCCCTAACATGGTGGAAAGAGCGAGGGAGCTCTGTGGGGTCTCTTTCATAAATGCACTAATCCCCTTCATGAGAACTCTACCCTCATGACTTAAACACCTTCTAAAGGCCCTACTTCCTTATGTCATCACTTTTGCACATTAGGATTTCAACATGTGAATTTGGCAGGGACACAAACATTCACACCATAGCAATTCCCCTTATGGAATATAAGGATTTAACTCTCTTTCATCCACCTTCCCCAACCCATTCCCACTAAAACTGTGTTGTAGCCCCTGCTCTCAAACTAGCATCGTTTCTATGACATTGGTGCTTATGATATTAACACAATCCAAAGCTGAGTATTGAAGTATGGAACGATGACAAATCTTTTCTATTTCTATTTTCCTTGGAGTGAATAATTGTGCTCTTTGTTCACCTGCTGAGCTCTACGTACCTGCCATCAATTCATCTCCAAACTCTCCACTGTAAGTGTCAAGGTCCTCTCAACACATTGAGCCCCAAGAGGTATTCCATGAGTTTCATCTTCTTGGAGCTGTCTCCAGTTCTGTTCTGATCTGGGCAACTGCACAGCTGTCATCCTGGTATCTCCCCCCACCATCGTCTGGGGCTCCCCTTCACCTTGTGAAACATTATTTTAGAAATATTTATTAGGAATTTTGTTTGAAGACCCTCTAAGTGTGAGGGATCACACAGGAAATATTGGGTAGGCTGTGTCCTCGGGATGAGTGAAATGTAGGCTGCATCAGTCTCCCTGTTCTTGGCAGTGTCTGCAAAGTGAATGCCTGTAAACATGGTTGGTGGGACACTGTCACTTGTTCGACCACACTTAAAAATTCAGCCGAGAATTTGCTGCTTCTCACGGATGTCCTGTGAGGTTTCACGGGTCTGGAGGTGTGCAGGGCTTGTGCTGAGGCACACGAGCATGGGGAGCGTGGCACACCTGGGAGCTTATATGGTGATGTTTTCATTTAACTGATACGTTTTGCTCCCTCAGGTGAGACTTTTCATCCCCCGCCCCCCTTGCGACAATCTTAAGTAGAGTTACAGGGAATATCCAGTGGACGTGAAGACTCTAAGGCACATCTTCTATTAGTATATAACTTAATCAAAATTAACTTATACCATATGATAGAACTTATAGGCTATTGGAAATATAATCTTATTTATGAGAACTGCCTTCTCTACAAATTTGGAAGTTTTGAACAAGGTGGGCTTCCTTCCTTCCTTGTGAAAAGGAGAATTGTGTTGTTTTGAAGAAGAGCTTCCTCTTGAATGTCATGTTATCCTGGGTACGGTTTGTACAATTCGATTTAGTTTTATCTACATAAATCTGAAACTAAGTTCTTTAAGCATTTTATATATAAGAAAACATGTAAAGATACAAAAGAGTTTAAGGTAAAGTATATTGGTACTTAGTGTCAGAGTTTCTCATTCATTCATTTTTAACAAAATCTTTGTTTTCTACAGGATTCTAAGCTGCCCTCCTCAGTTCGCAGTACACTTCTGGAAATGTTCGGTCAAATAGAAAGAGAATTTGAAAACCTTTATATTGAAAACTTAGAATGTGAGTATCTGCTGTCTGTGTATTTTTACAGCTTTTCATTTGGAAATCTCTGAGACGCAGAAGCAGACTTGTGGGTAGACATTTGCCACTCATCCATTTTCTCTTCTGCTATTATTAGCTTAGTGGCTTAGAATAGCACAGGTTATTACCTCAGAGCTCTGCAGACAACATCAAATGTGGACAGAGCTGTGTTTTCTGGAGGCGTGAGGGGTTCTGCTGCTTGTCTGGGTTGTGGCAGATTTCATTGCCCTGTAGTGGGGACAGGGTCCTGTCTTCCTGCTGGCATTCCCAGTGTCTAGAGCCTGCTGCGCTCCTTGTCTCCAAATCTTCCTCCCTCCTGCAAAGCTGACAGTGACTATGGAGTCCCTTCATGCACCTCTGACCTTCCGTGGGGCCCCCTTGTGCACCTCTAACCTGTGGGGCCCCCTCGTGTACCTCTGACCCTCCTGAGGATGTGTGGGAAGGATGGGCCACCTGAGTCCTGCAGGGGGGTCTTCCCATCGAAGGTGAAGACCTTAGTCACACCTGCAGGGCCCCTTCCATGAGGTCACACAGGTTATCTTTGGAGTGGGCAGTATTCTGACCACACCTGCTGACCTGAATTGTGATTTATTAAAAATAAATGCATCTTATAACTTTTCCTACACAAAGTGTACTGTAAATTGAGAAAATGTTAACTCATGGTTTTCTTTAATACCATAC